CGAAGGAGCTGGAGGAAGTGTCTGGAGAGAAGGAAGTCTGGGCATCCTTGCTTAGACTGCTGCCCCCGCGACCCGGTCCCGGATAAGCGGAGGAAAATGGATGGGGATGGATACCCTATCCCTGTTGACAATTCTCTCTTTTTTGGCTAAGAAATGTATTTTGTTGAGGTGGTGTACCCCTCATGTCCCTACAGTTGACATGTGGATATCACAGACATCGACTCATTTTCCTATGGAGAAACTGCCTTGTGATCTTAACCCAAAATCAGATCAATTTTTGGACTTTGGAAGCCTTTCCATTCTTTTTTAAAACAGAGATTGTGCCTATTTTGTTCAGTTGATGTCATTTATTTTTAATCATGAAGAGCTGATAGAAACACATGTAGTACAATTAATATGTTGCTCCTGTTTGGAAAAATACAGCTATATCAGGATAAATACAGAACACTGAATTGAAGAGTTATTTGTCTAACCCCAGAATCTGGTTCACAGCAGCCCATCCTTTAAAACAAAGATGGCCTTCATCACTAGTGTTTGCATATGTAGCAGTATTTAAATAACTGGTATAACAGCACTAGATTAGTGACAGTAAAATATACTTCATGAAATAGAATTGCATCCTTATCTTACACTGGTGATCCATACTGATTACATTACAACTACTAAAACTACAACCATAAGGGTTTTCAACATGTCAATAAAAATAAAGCTCTAGTTAAATCAAGAATTTTCATAGCCACAGAACTGGGATTGTTATTTAAAATAGACCAAAAATAGGCCACAATTTTAAGGCAGGCAAATGCGAAACAGCACGACAAATAAAAGCCGAGTGGTGTGTTGTGACATAAATCCAAGCATTTTGGTCACAGCAGCTACAGTGTCACTGGACCTTCAGGGGTGGGTTCTGAAACCTGCAGGAAACTTCCAGCTTTTTAAAGTGCAGTTTCTGTCTTCTATTAAGATTATAAAGCTCCCAGTCTGTGTGTGTGTGCGTGTTTGTTTACCTGAGAGCAGCAGCATGATAAGTGTCCACGTAGTCAGAGATGAACAGTTCTCTGCTCCTGACCACTGGGTCTGTGATAACCAGCTCCCGGCCAGAATCTGGAGGAAGAAACACACACGTGCACTGAATACATATCTGCATTACATGATAAAGACAACCAAACTCATTCATCTCTGCCAAAGATATAAAGAGATAAAGTAGCTCTGGTATTTGAACTCACTAATAAATTCATGAGCACAGTTCTGCGTACACCCAAAGTAACAAGTATCTCTGCAGAGGTCAATATTATGCCACGTTAATTCAATAAAGCCAATAAAGTGCGGTCCCCTGAGGCGAGGACATAATGTTCAGTTCTCAAGTGATATGACCCTTGCGGAGGTTAAGACGCATCAGCAGCGCCAAGAATGAGCCGGGACTGACAAATGACCTGAGCTGTTGAGTGCTGTGGCCAGTGCTCTGGCCTTCTGACATCAATTCTAATAATCCTGAGTCCCGGTGCAAGGACAGACTGCAGATAGCACAGCGTTGTGTTACACCGAGAGACGTTCTGCAGGGAGCGGTGTACGTGGTGTCTGGGTGATAACCTCAGCGACACACGTGAATAAAAGCCCTGGCTGGGACAAAAGAGATACTTGGTGCAGAAAAAGAAAACAGCCGAACACCCTGTTTGGCTGTTACTGTGATGGCATGTGTAACTTGTATATTTAGAGTATTGATGATGGACATAAGCAACCAATCAAATCAGTTACTTTTTTAAGACAAGCTCATTCACTTTAGAGCTGTGCAAGTACAGGTGTGTGATGACTTAATTCATTATGAATTCATTAAAGAAGAAACTAAAATCTTTTTTCATTCTCTTTTCATTTATATTAAATTAAAAATGCTTACAGTACATGTGGCTCAACATGGGCTAAAATCCAAATACTAATTCATCAACTGATTATTCCAATAAGTTAATGTTACATCTGACACAATGTTTTTCTTATTGGCAGGATTTGATATTCAATCGCTAAACTAGTGACTGTGTTGTTCCTGTTGGAGTGTGATGAGTCCACTGGCGCTGATGGTGTCGAGTGTGTGCGCTCAGGGGCCACATGACACTTGGGTTATTAATACTTGACAGTGCGGCTGTGTGGCCTGCAGGAGTGTTACCCGGGGAACAGCACGGAGCCGCAGGATTGGCTCGGCTGCCTGGGATGCTGTTGACTGGTTTCTGTTTGAAATGCAATTCACAGCTAGCTCTTATATCCCCCAACAATCAAGAGAGCAGAGGGAGGTGCGTGTGTGTATGTGTGTGTAAAGGACAGAAATTGAGTGTTGTTTACTATTCTTGCGTGTGTACACACACACACACACACACGCACACCCACAGACGTGTACAGCTGTGCTTCAATGCAGACAAGTCAGCCTCACCGTTCTCATTGTTGCGATCCTGCACCAGGTGCTGGTAGACGGAGTCGGGCACCTCTGACTGGCGGTAGTACCATTTCACATTCATCAGCAGATGGTCCCGTTTACTCTGCAGCACAGAGAAACAGAGCAAGTAAGCAGGAGACCCAAAAAAAAAAAAAAAACCCATATAAACAAATATCATTTTGTTCGATTACGACATCAGAAACTGGCCTCTTGGCAAACAGTGATGCTGAGCAGACTGCCTGTTTATGACCCACACAGGCTGATGCCAAAACGCACACAGCGAAACCAAGTCAATTAAAAGAGGATTGCAGAGCATTTAGAGCCTTAATAAAGCAAACAGTGGGATTGCTGTTGCTGGAAGAAGTACAGAAAGAGAAGGACCGAGAGGGGAGTGGATGAGTGTTCAGTCTCTGCCTTCTGCATATTCATCCTCTGTCCTGGTTTCAGTTCACCTAATGACAACTCACAAATGAGCTATGAAATTGTTTTAACATGGTAAAGGTTTACTCAAACACAAGCTGAGTATCTTTCCACCATGCTTTAGACTTTATATTCTTTAAGTGATACCACCTACTGGCCTTTTGATAAAGTGCAAGTTAGCAAAGGCATGTAATTCTACAGATAGCCAGCAGGTGGAAGCACTGTGTTTGAGAAGACAGCCTTTCCAGGGCCAGTCAAGGGAAAACATACAGAAGAAAGAAGTGGGGTGTGAAGAAAATGGTGGAGACAGAGGCCAGTGCTGAGGTGAGGAATGGAAAAGGGGAAAATATTATTTTCATTTCATGTAATAAAATATTTATTGTGCCTTCACATAACTGACAACACAGGTTTGAAAGAATATCAGAGAGACTGCTGGGATGGAGGATGAACTGCAACACAATCCTACTGGCCCCAGCTGTCTTTATTAGGGACTTGGAAGCACTGCACTGCACTGAGTGAGACACCTGCACCACCGCTGACACCACCCGTGAACAATAAGACAAATGAGCATAGGGGGAAAAAAATGGAAGAAGGAAAAATGTCCACAGTAATCTAAGACAGAAGGCTTAACATCCGCTCTTTCCAGGGTCTTAACTGTGTGTGCGTGTGTGTACGCGCGCAGGAGCATGAGGTCAGAGTAAAAATATTTAAACCCTTTACAGTACATTGTTCTGTTATGTCCTTGGGGAGGAGGCTGAGCACACGCAGCCAAGCAAATCATGACCTCCCTAAACCCTTCAGCCCACCTCTGGTTTTCCCATTCTCTTCATCCCTACCTCCCTTTTCCATCTTTCTCATTCCAGCCCTCCACTCCACCACCACCATTTTCTTTCCCTTCTTCGTCCCTTTCTCCAACCTTGAGCAGGAAGCAGGAAGGAGTGCGTTAAGTGAGCCTGGACGTGTTAAACAGCTGCTGGCACGCAGTCAGTTAGCTGCATTTACTGCTCTGGATGATTTTCTGAGTGTGCATCACACAACCACACACACACTTTGCTTGTTATTCAACAGAGAACCATAGTAATGGACTGAGATACAGACCCCAGAGTATGTAGACATACTGCGTGTGAAGAACTGTGTGCTATGACATCATGTCCGTCCCCCTCCCTCCCAGCAGTCAGCCCACCCATCCCAGCCGTCTGTCTATCCAGTGTTATAGACACTGTTGCCTTCTACACAAACAGGCTGCCTGCCACACAAGTAGGAGCAGTTATCCCGTGTTTTTACATAATTAAAACTTTAAGGAGACTAAATGCTGCCACCGTGCTACATGAACATTTCATTTTCTGCTGGCAAAGCCACAAAATCAAAGGGATTTCATACAGCCTGATGCAGACAGGTTTCACACCTTACCCATGAGCATGCATTATTTTAAACCAACCAAAACAAGCCTAAGCACAAAGAAGGAATACTACTTCAGCCATCATCAGCATCCTCGCCACTACAGAGTAGCAGCCACTCTCTAGAGCAGATTGCTGTTTAGAAGCTCAGAGCGGCTTAAGCGCTCTCAGGCAAAAGAGGGAGGGAGATGGAGAGAAAGACTGAGAGTGCAACATATGGAGTACGTAGTGGGAGTGAAGCACAGCTTTCAATTATCACAATTCTATAAACATGCGGGGTGGAAAAATGAGTAGATAACGCAAAGAGAAAATGAAGGGGGATGATAGACAGCTCAGACTCACCACATGAACTACTAGTTGTATTGTCTGGGTTTTGCTAAGCCTGCCATAGAAAATGACAGGGGGAACGTACAAGGGGGAACCACAATGCTGAATTGATTAGAGACATTCCACGCTGCCTGTAGAGAGCTGAGCCCCACACAATGTCAGCCATCTTTGTCTGTCCTGCCAGAGGCTAAACATGGCCCTGCCCTCCCTCCTCCTGGGCCCTAAACCCTGGGAATGCTGCTTGCTGCGGAGAGGCCAAAAGACTTACTAACCCACTACTGAGAGAAAGAAATGAAACAGGAGGGGGGAAAAAAAGAGAAAGTGCAAGGGAGCAGAGAAAAGAAAAAGTGAGGAGAGAGAAAAGGGATGGATTTAAGTAGGAGGAGCAAGACCTTCTCATTTCCTCAGACTTAAAATTACAACTATCCTCCTCCTGCTTTACTGAAACCCCCAGGGTAAAAGGCAACTCCTGTATTCATTGAGATATAAATCTGAGGGTCCTGCTTTGGGGATGGACACAATGGCACCTCCTCTCCCCTCCAGTGAGTGGCCTGGCCTGTGGTGTTCATGGGCACACTCATCAGACAGGGGTCAGATTATAGGAGAGCTAGGGCTGGGTATCATTGCAAAATTTTCAGTACCGGTACCAATACCTTGACTTCAATACCGGTAAACAATACTTTTTTCGATACCAGATTTATAAAATCAATTTTAACAAAAAATAAAATTATATAAAAATGTACATACATTACACATTTTGGTTCAGATCATCGGTATTTTTCAATTCCTTGGCATATTTTGGCACTCAAAACAGTTTCAGAACATAAAAGGCAAACCTATTTATCACAACCTTATTTTCTGTTAACGTTACCATCAATAAATAAAAATGAAGAAAAGCATTTTTCGATACTCTATAGTAGTGAAGTAATTCGATCGATGCCACAGAGGTATCGAAGTTCAATACCCGGCACTAAGGAGGGCGATTAATTCACAGGCTAGGAAATATTACAAGGTTTTTAATTATCTTGTAGAATGACTCCAAAATGTGTATCTGTTCAGAAAAAGCAAGTCAATGTGTTCATCATTGCTCTAAGAGCGGCCAACACAAGACAACATTGTGTGAGTCAGTTATTCTCTCTCTCTGACTGGCTAAAAGATGGCTGGCCCCTTGGATCCATAATGGCTGTGCAGTTTTCTTTGTGTTGCTACGTGTGTGTGTGCAGTCAGCTCTGGAGCTGGGCCTCTGTGTACAAACATACCACTATAAAGACCGGGGGAAAGCAAGAAATACAGAAAGCAGACTTTCCTTTTTTTTATATAATTTTAAAAGAAACCAGCTTTTCTTTAAAGGAGGAAGCCACCTAAAAGATGGACAGTCTGGATTAATTGCATGTTTACAAGTAAGGCAGCATAAAATCAATACAGTGCCTTTCAATGCAAAACCTGCCACTAAATCCTTCAGTGTTTGCAGAGTACACCGCAGTAGCAGTGAGCCCAGACTTTCTCCCACATCTGCGCACACACAGTGGCCTTTCCAATATGGTCACTGCCTTGCAGCCAAGTTGAGCTGTGACAAAGCCAAGGGAACACTGATACAAACTGTAACCCTCAAACCTAATGCCCTATCTTCTCCTGGCACTGTGACACTAGAGCTCTGCTTTAAACAAAACCAGACCCTCCCTCTCCCACATGACAGGCCCCCAGTGTACCTCTTTAACAGGAAACCTCTGTTTATTTTCTCTGCTTTTCAAACACGCTTCTTCCTCTGCTAACCCAGATAGTGACACTCCTCCACACAAAACCTCACTGGTGACATCAGCAGACAGGACTTATGACTTCCTTCAGGAGGTGGCAGCCAGACATAAGGATGGAAAGACAGACCCCAAACACACAGAAAAGGGAGACGAGAAGAGGGAGGGAGGTCAGTGTTGGCCAGGAATGTCAAACAGTTCAGCCAGGCTAGCAGGCTGCTGAGCTAACAGCTTAGTTAGTTAAAACCCCAGGGGTCTGGGTATGGTAGATCAGGGCTGGGAGCAGTGTGCCACTGACAGGCAGAGGCTCAAAATGGCATGAAGGGAAGATCGTGGGAGTGTCCACCTCGGTTGCCGTAAGGGGAAGTGTAAGTACAACCAAAGAACAAAAGGCTGGTTGTGGCATTTGGGAGGAGAGAGTGGATCTGGGAGGACTAATCTGCTGCTCTGACATGATAAGATTAGAGAGGGGAGGCAGGCAGGAAGTACTGGCTGGGAAGATCACACATAAACTCACATAAACACACACAAAGATGATGGATCTGATTGGATGGGTTTTCCACTTGGTTTTCTCTCTTTTTATTCTTTCTCTCTCGCTTTCTCCTGTTCTCTCTGAGACAAAGAGATCTGCCAGCAACACCAGCACTCAATAAGCACTTCCATCTGGACGACAGAACACACACACACGCACACACACACGCTCAAAACGTGTATGCGTGTCACCATACACTGGTGAGGTACCAGAGATCTGCTGTGCTCACGCAATCTTCGACATCTCAGTGACTGACAAAGGATGTTGTTAAGAAGAAATGACACCACAAACATACAAGCAAGTGCACACTCACTCTGTCTCATAAACACACACGAATATTTGTTTTCATTCCTCGTGGGGACTTTCATTCCCTAAAGACTTACCCTACCCTTAAGTCGTCACCCTAAAAGTCAATGATTTACATTGCAGGCAGCAGCACGAGGGATGGTGGAAACCCCACAGTGTGAGTGTGTAAACAGGTTTTGGTCCCCACAATGTGAGTAATATCAGGTGCGCACACACATACGCACACACACACACACACACACACACACAAATAACAGGCTTTCAGGATAAGCACTGCTATTCTTCTCCCAGCCCTGCAGCAGAGCAGGGCAGACTGGGACTCTGTGTCAGAGGTAAGAGAAAGCACCTCTAAATCAGGCTGTCAGAGCCA